ATATAGTACAAAATAATCAATAGCCACAAAGTGTACTGTTATACATAGATAGACCTCCCTCAATATGATATGGATATGACGCTCGGCTGAAGAATTAGCGATTACAGTGTAAGGTGTTATAAGTACTATTAATACACGAAGCACTGCTCACATTCCCTGGATTCATCTCATCGCATCTTACAACACCCGCGGGGTTGCATGAGGTGATTGCTACTCTAATCTGGTGCACAACTCGGATATTAGGTAACAAGATTCTATAACACATCTTGCGACACATAAGGTTTATGTTGATTTGTCGACCCAATATAGAAGCTTCGGGGACAAAAACAATACAACCAAGTAGATAAACAATTCGAATAAATATAACATTACAGTTGGAACGCGTTATTTGCTGTGCGTCTTATTTTCCGACACGTCGGCGTATTCTGAAAACGTTTTCGAATTATTTCGCTTGTCATAATCTGCTGTAGCGTAAGTGAAATACGACTCTGTAGCAGTAAAATAAATGGTGGCACTACTCGTATGTAGTATGAGCTGGTAACGGTTTTCAGACTCTCGTTTCAACGATTTAACGGTATGCCGACACATGTTCTACAGCTTCAAAAATTGTGACTGTTCGGGGACTGTTGGAAGATCAACCTAAAATCGAATTTGATGTTACAAAGAATCACCTACTTCACGCTTCACCGTGACTTACATAGGTTACTTACTCTCCCTACTATCCATAAAATCTATCATCTACTGTTTGTTCTAGTCTTATTTAGTTATTCTGTTTGTCTGTCGTATACAACTTCCTTAACCTTAAACTAAAATGTCACATAAAATTCTTATATCAGAATAGTCGCTCAGGAGCTTGTTATTATTCTTAAGTAGGTATACCCTCCAGATATTTAGAGACACTGCTCTCATTACAGGAAAACATGAGCGTTACAGAGAAATAAGATATGATACCGTTCTATTTTTTACCTGTTGTTTCATGAAATATTTTTTAGTTTATGATTTAATATTCGATAGCACCACTCCCTTCCTACCTTGGGTATCGTTATCGTAAATGGCCACAAAAGAGATGAGTCTAGTAAATATATAGTCTGTAGCGTTCCTTGTCTTAAACTGCGCTAGCTAAGCTTGGTGGATTAATAATGGCAAATCTATCCAATAAATGGTGGCCCACGTCTTGAAGACTACACTGGCCGCTGATGTTAATTATAGAAAACTGATATCACATTATTTCTTCGCAATGGTAAACCATGTGAATAGCCAATAAATTATATCACTTGTGGGCAAAGGCCGCATATACGTCACACTATTACATAGAGTCATCGTTTTCGTATTCAATGCGCCGCAATGGTGTGAACTAAATCCAATTTCGAGAGCCCTGTTATTTATTGTCGAAGTTAGCGCATTTCGTCACGTAAACGTTTTAGAAACTACCATTAAAGGGCTGTATCGTAGCCCTACTCTTCATCTGGGTAGGTACTTATATACAGTGTTGAAACACATTTGCGTATAGTTCAGTCACGAAATATAAGTATCTGTCTAAAATTTCACGACAGGATAATAACTCTCTTAGGTACATAAATAAATTATTGTTGCTGACTAGAATTAAAAACCAAAAAGGTAACCATTTATGAAAGAATCTAATCAAAAAGACGATAATTATTGTGAGTAATCGTTATCTAAATTTGTGATTTTTCTGAGAGAGGCCGTAAGTTATAATGGAACACTTCAATTAAATGGAATTACTTTGCTCATTTACGAGCATTAAATATTAATGTCGACGGTCTATTATTGATTTACTTACAGGCTTACGATGAACTTATGACCTTTATACCCTTGAAAACCTGCTTATTACCTACTTTCTAATACATAATTAACAATAGTTTGATACCAATTTAGCTACATTGACCAGCTCAAGTTACATTAAGATCGAAACAGACTCTAGTTATATCTAAGAATCTAATAAATTCATAATTCAATTAGGCTTATTTTTAAAGGTGGCTAATAGTAGTTTATGCAACTGCCTAATAATGAGAGGCTTTAGGATGAGAGTGTCTGTTTATCACACGAGGCGCAGCCGAGTGTGATAATAGTTTGACACGAGCATTCTAAAGCCTAATTATTTGCAGTTGCATACACTATTTTATCTACACTCTACAAGAAAAACTATGAAAAATAATTCAAACCTCCGCACTGCACTATGGCGATTGCAAGCCTATCTACTGAACGACCAACTGAACGACTTTTGTACATAAGTTACTTTTTAACTAAACGTTAAAATGGAGGCTCATAAAAACTGAACAACTTTTAAAATTAAATAGCATTTATCGGTGAATTTTAATTCGAAAAATGATTTGAAGCAAAGATTTAATAATAAATAAGTCCTCATAATTTCAAGTGTCGCCCCGCCGCGGGTGACACTTGTTTTTTCATTCGACTTACTGATGGCCAGTGTCAAATTGAAACAGATTACAATTTGGTACGCGGGTCAATTCGTTTAATTTTTTCAAATACTAGAAATCGAGTTACTTTATGTAGCTGCCAGTAGTATGAAAGTTTTTTTTTAAAGGCTGTATATTCGTAATGCAGTTCATTATGTTCGTACTTTCGATTCTGTAAAACGAATATTACGAACTGAGTGTAGATAAAATATTAAACATTACATCCGAGTGCACATGCCGGATTACAATTGACTAACCTACCTCATTATATTTGTTTTTAAGTAGTAAAAATATCATCTTACAAGTATTTCTTCATTTGTGCCACTTTATCACAAATTAGGGAAACGGCGCACGAGGCGTCTTTACAGGTAGGTCACTCAGTACTAGCGATGATTTTGACACTTACTGGCTTTAACTGGAATCTCAGGGTGAGTTACTAGGTAACTAAGAAGATGGTTGCTACAAACGTCATATTTCTTGGATTAAAATTGGCTCAGAATCATATGACGTTCTTGTCTCAGATTTGACTGTTTTGATATTTTTACATTTTATATGTCATATTTCTAAAATTGACTCAGAATCATTTGACGTTCTTACACATTTTAAGTATTGAACCGGGTCTATCGCGATAATTATTTAGATAGACCCGGTTCAATACTTAAAATGTGTGAAAACAATCGCGAGTGCTTCAAAAGTTATATTTGACGTTCTTGTATTAGATTTTGCTACATTGAAATTTTAAGATAGTAGAGGCACTGGCTTTGTAACAATTGACAGTCGCGAAAATCCTAAATTGTCACTTTATCATTATAGTTTTTTTTGTTAGTGGGCGGCCGTGATAGAGCGAGCGCCCAGCACTCGTGTAGCGGTTAGAGTCTCGTAGGGTTAGACACTTGCCCTTTGCGGCGCTGAGATCAGCGCTTCACCAACCTTCACACCCTGCAAAATAAAAACATTGACTCGTTTGACGACAAAGTTTGTTCATCCCTCCCTAAGATAGATATTTCGTATAAGTAAACAACTAGGTATGTATACTGTCGATAGATGTACATTTTGATATAAGTACATTCATACATATATAACGCCTATATCCCTTGCGGGGTAGGCAGAGCGTAAATGGCTGTATAAAGTGGACACTTACGCCACGTCTGACAATAATTTGAGAGTCACTACAAGACTGTAAACACTTAAGTGACAAGTTGTCAGCCTGTCGCCTAAAATTGCAAATATTCTCAACCGGGACCACATGCCATTTTGATATGGTTAGTGTACGACGACTTTTCAGAGCTTAATATAATTGCATGTTCAACATTTTTCATTTAAATAGGTACCTACTATACCTAATACTATAACAGCCACAATAAAGTCCACTGCTCAACATGGGCCTCCCCTTAGTAGGTATAGGGTGTATTTGTTTGTGAACGCAATGCAAGATGTTGTGATGCGATTGCGAAATTCATCCAGGGATTGAGCCCCTTGATAAATTTATCCCGTAGTCGCTTCAAACGACACCCACGGGAAAGATATGGGGTGATGACATTCTAAGCCGGCATCACACGGCCACCTATACCTAGGTACCTAATTACGTGATATTTCATTAATATTGTCAACATACAAAATAAGTTACGAGCTAATATTGGAAATTGGTAGTGTGCATAACAAGGGGCAAGGCTCGATCTCGCTCAGAGGTCGGGAGGTTAACCGATGCAAGTGTTCTCAGCAAGGTTCTATTACGTAGTTATGTAAGTACGTAGTACGTAGCCGTGTGGTGCCGGCAGAGTAGAATAGCACCACCTCCTCTCTTACCGTGGGGGTCGTAATTGGCGACCGAGGGATAAACCCGACCCAAACAGCCAGGGCCAACCATATGGTAGTGGTTAATCCACCACAAAAGCATTCCCAAGGAGGGTTGACGTCTGGTAGGTGGCCGGTCGTAAAATTAAGCCAAATCCTTTGCAACACGATTTTGTGTTCAACAAAACGTGTTGCGCCGACCCCAAGTAATTGGGATAAGGGCAGGAAGGTGATGATTGGAAATTGGTAGTGTGCATAGCAAGGGGCAAGGCTCTATCTCACTCAGGGGTCGGGAGATTAACCGATGCAAGTGTTCTCAGCAAGGTTCTATTACGTAGTTGTGTAGTCGGGGTCAAAAGAGCATACCTAGGACCGCCACAAACGGTTCAAAATATCTCTGAAACTACATTACTTTTGTAATTGTTTTTTCGGTTGTGAATATAGTTTAACTAGCTACATAGACAACAAAAGCAATAATTTACAAAAATAATGTAGTTTCAGAGATATTTTGAACCATTTCCCTAACCAAAAATAAAATAAATAAATAAATTTGACGCGGTCCTAGATATGCTTTTTTGACTCCGACTGTACGTAGTTGTGTAGGTACGTAGTTGTGTAAGTACGTAATAGGGTAGGTACCTGCCTACTAAAGTAAGAGCCGCCTAAATATACTACGGAGAAACTAATTTATATTTTTGTCGAAATAGAAAAATAGATTATTCTCAACTTATCGCGATCTATAATAAATATTAGGCTAGCTAGGATAGAACCGCGGTAGCCCAGTTGGTAGTTGCTTCGACAGTACAGATGCCGAAGGTCGCAGGTGCAAATCCTGCCTGCGGTAAAAAAATTAAAGCTTTTTGGAATACTTGCTGAATTTGAAGACTGAAAATATTCACGGTCTACGATTACTCAAAGCCTGAACCAAGTAAAAGCAATTTCGTTTTGTTTATTTAGTTTTAAGTTTATTATTTCGGCATTTATTGTATTGACATGAATAAAAAATTATATAGTTACCTATATAACTATCACATAGCGACAGCATACCTAATCAATTTTGAAACACGTGAATGAGATTAATATAAGTATTTCGTATTTTGGTTTATACAATGTTGTCTAAGTATATGAAGGGAGCAACCTTTAAGAAACACTTATCCAAATTATAATGCCTTGCAGACCAAATTTCAGACACCGTAAGAAAATACCAGCGGTAGGTATTTAATGTTCCCTAAAACCTTCCGTTTACTGCAATACGATACGACTACAAAGCTCCCCACAACTCGGGGCAAAGCGGAAAATTAACACAAAACCGTAATCATATCAAAGCTCTCAGAGAAGCACGAAGGAAGCTAACAATGTCTTACTTCTGAATTGTAAGGCTGCTTTCAGACATACCATTAGCATGGCGGTACCGCGTACAGGGCTGGATGCATTTTTTAAATATTATTTAGATCTGAAAGAGACAAATATGGATGCCAAAACTGCACAGGATAGTGAAAAATAGAAAATACATACAACGAGAGCCGGCCCCAGATGGTGGGATAAGGCTAAGGAGAAGAAGAAGATTCTATGAATTTTTCACATTTGCCGCCGTGGCTGCGGCATGCCACACAGTAGTGTGAAAGGATCCTTACAATATCAAACTAATGTTGCATTAGCAGCGTGTTTAAAACCAGTCGAAGTGCGCATCCCTCTCTCTTTTCGTGTGGAACACCGAGTCGTCCAAATAGGTACGCATTATGAAAGATTTCACGCTAAGTTCTTTCTTTGCCTTCCCGTGACCGTACCAGAGTGCAGATTATTACCGGCCCCTGTTACTTATTTAGTTTTTTTTATTATTATTTTGTTCACTACGGCCTCTTGATTGTCTTAAATGTAGCGTACTAATACCGACAAACAGAAAACCATATCCATTCATTATAATTTTACCTACACAGTTAATAATGCCTGCTTATTTCATTCCATGAAATATTGAGTAGGTAGGGAGTGACACGAAAACCGTGAAAACGTTTCTTTAGCGTGTCACTGCGCGAAAACACGTCACTCGGACTGACGTCACTTCCCTTTCCTTTTCAGCGCCACACGGACTCGCGCGATTTCTTTTATTAAAATGAACAAGAATAAACCTTGCTCGCAATAGCATGGTATAAACCTACTCGTATACTAATTATAGGCAAATATGTGTCGGAAGGAAATAGCGGGCATGCCGTGAGTTTATTTAAGGAGCTTACCTTATTAAACACGGTACGGTCTACGTGACTACGGCGTAGCGAGCGTAGCAGCACTTATGTTTGTGCTACGAGCTTTGCTACGCGGTAGGAACTACTACAGAAATGCGTTTGTAAACTTTGAATGCAATTCCGTACATGGCCTAGATAATGTATGCACTATCCAGATTAACTGCGGTCTGAACTGCTGCCAAAAAGCGCATGTTGCGTATTGCAAAACTCTGCCTTGATTGTAATAATAAATAACTTTTTTGTTCCGCGCTCACAAAGAAAAAAGTTGAAAAAATGTATTTACACTTACAGCCCCGGGACTTCCCGGAAAGATTGCGGCCAATTCTACTTTCAGAGAACTTTTTCTTAATGCGGGAGTTCTTTTGTAATATTGCTGCTGAAACTCTAAATAAATAATGGAAAACAGAGAGAGACCCAACTTGAGTTGATATTGGTATTGTTGAAGAGGACCACCTGCTGCGAAAATACAAAACCTACCATAAATAAAATTCAAAGTTTGAAACTTGGTCGTGGATTCTGGAATTTTGATTTGAATGGAATATATCAGATTGTTTCAATGATGACAGTGCAGAATAACGCGTGTGTTTCAGTGAATATCATACAATATGTATAGGTATTTTTAGAACAAAATATAGTAGTACTATCGCCAGCAAATCCACCTACCCCTTTAAAGGATCAACTTATTTTTGTATCAAAAACCACCCTTCAAATGGGTAAGTGGATTTGAGAGCGAAAGTATCAGTAAGACAGCTTTATTATTCTTGTATTGTTCGTCAAAATATCACTACAAATAATAGACAGAATACACTACAAATTTAAGTGAAATTGCTTTTTATCTCGGTTGTAGGATTTATGGTCTAGATGGAACGGAATCTACTACTGATGATGGAACGGAGCTACATTACTTCTGACTACAAGACAAAACATCCAAATTATTTGACTTTGCCTACCAATAAAAAACACTAGTCAAGAATAAAATATGTGTTATGACAACTGTCATAACACATACGTAGTTGTGTCATAGCGTGAGGTTACTGTTCATAAAAATCCATTATTATCTTGAACATGCACTAAAAATAATGACACCCACTAAAGATACATTGTAACACTACAAAATTAACTTGCTTTATATCTCGGTTGTAGGATTTATGGTCGAGGGGGAACCGAATCAGATTTAAAACTGTCTAATGTGACCACTGAGCTTCATTAATTCCGACTACAAGAAAACAACACTGAATGAAATAAATCGCTCGCACCGCTTAAACGAGTGTGCTTAACAAAGCAGTCTTTAAAGAATTTACAATGTTCTGGTGGAATTAACGGTGAGATCCAATTTATTTGACTTTTCTATCGCGTGCAGTTACTGTTAATATCTTTACATGGCACCCTCTAAAGATTCATTTAAAACACTAAAAACACTTAAATTGCTTTATATCTAGGTTGTAGGATTTATAGTCAAGAGGGAACCGAATCAGATTTAAAACTGTCTAATGTGACCACTGAGCTTCATTAATTCCGACTACAAGAAAACAACACTGAATTAAATAAATCGCTCGCAACGTTTAAATGAGTGTGCTTAACAAAGTAGTCTTTAACGAATTTACAATGTTATAGTGGAATTAACGGTGAGATCCAATTCATTTGACTTTTCTATCGCGTGCAGTTACTGTTCATTGAAATCTTATATCTTTTACATGACACCCTCTAAAGGTATATTTTAACACTACAAACACTTAACTTGCTTTAAATCTCGGTTGTAGGATTTATGGTCGAGGGGAAACCGAATCAGATTTAAAACTGTCTAATGTGACCACAGAGCTGCATTAATTCCGACTACAAGAAAACAACACTGAATGAAATAAATCGCTCGCACCAGTTAAATGAGTGTGCTTAACAAAGCAGTCTTTAACGAATTTACAAAGTTATAGTGGAATGAATGGCACAAATTGTACCTCTAGCTTTACAATTTCTACAGGTAATGGCACAAATATTGTTGAAGAAATTATTTGCTGTGTGATACAGGCTTAGAATAACATCACCCCATATCTTTCTCTTGGGTGAAGAAAGCACTAAATGATTTGAGGGTTGATGTGTATTGCAATATTAGGCGACAGGCTGACAATCTGTCAATATTGTGATACATAGTCTTCTGAATGACTCTTGAATTTTTGTCAAACGTGGCGTAAATGGCCGTTTTTGTAGCCGTGTACGCTCTGCTTGCCCTGCAAGGGATATTGGCGTGATATATGCATAATCTAACTTTTAGACATTAACAAGGATAGTAAAGGAAAGCTCTTAATTAGGTAGTATAATTTGATTCCATAGATTAATACCATAATGTTAGGTACCAAACACAACTGTGTAATTTAGTCAGATATTTTGAAATATGAAATCAAAGCTTTTACACACATGTTGTCATATCTGAAAAACCTAAACTTTAGTCTATGACTGAAGAATGCAAAGAACGATTGTTTGTTAATTTCTTCTAGCTAACGGTCTGCGGTAGTGATCGCTGCGGAACAAACTACAGCAAAAGAGCCAGGACCAAACAAATTTCGAATTTTCCCCAATAACCGACGAAGTTAAAACAATGCAATGCATGTTTCTGCGTTGCGTTTTTTCAACGTAATTTTCTGCGTTGCTATATCTTTTAACGACGGTTAATACGAAATTGTTATGCATCTGACAGACGCATGCATTAGCACTGCGCTAAATATGTGCAGCAACACAAGTTACTGGCCTTAAATATATAACTATAGCAGCCACAACAGACCACTGCTGGACATGGGCCTCCCCCTATCGGGGGGTATTGCCATACTCACCACGCTTGGCAGGCGGATTGGCGAGCGCAGTGTAAGATGATGCATTTACAGAGAACGCTGCTGCCCATTCCCTGGATGAATATCCCTTAGTCGGTTTTTACGACACCCACGGGTTGAATTGGGGTGATGCTATTCTAAGCCGGCATCACACGGCACTGGCCTTATACTAGGCATAAACTTTGAGAGTTAATGTATGTGTAGGCGTGTGTTTGTTACCTTCTTTAAGCTCTTGATAGATTTACGCAGATAGAATAGGACATGGAATAAATAAGAAGTGGCAGTGTGTGGAACCACTACTGATCGAAAATGTACAAGGTCCTTTTGTAAAAATCTTGATTTTGGGGTTCATTTTGCTATGCCTACTTCAGAAATCCTTGATTGAGTGTGTATTTAACAAATTATTCGTTATGATTTAACAATGTAGAAAAAAATGCAAAAGGAAAACACTTTCACAATTTCCATGTTCGTTGGCTATGTTTGATTCATTCAATAAAGTTCAATTTAGAATTTCTGTTCTGGATGTCAGTAATTCGAATTGACTTTGATGCCTCGTGTAATCTGATTTAGGAAGGGGATTTGAACGCCAGTCTTTCTTAGTTCACAAAGTCGCGGTAGAAATTCTGCTTTTTGCATCTGTAGGTGTTTCTGGACAAATACATAAAACATATAAGTATTACTTTCTTATTACGTATTTGGCTTTTTCAATAAAGTTTTGATGTAATTATTAAGAGAGGAAAAATTTGAAAAAGTCATCCTGTTATTACATTAATTCGAAAGACTAG